TACAGATGGCATAGTTAAGAATTTTAGCAAAAAATACCTTTTTAAGGTAATTTGGTGTCTTGTGACCAAATTGAGAATTTAGAAAAATATTCTACATATGGCATTTACACAATTTTTATTACCCTAATGTTCTAGAGGAATTTTAATACTGCATACTTGCTGTTAATACCAATGATGTACAAGAAACTCTCTCTCTCTCTCACACACACACACACTCACACACACACACGTCTGTAGCCTCAGGACTTTCAGAGCCCTCTAATAACAAGATCCTCTGGTCTAAGGAGCCAGGCTTCTGGCCTGGCAGAACTCCAGCTTTTCTATCTTATTGTTTATTGACAATCCTGTTGGTAACTTTAGCTAACAATATTCAATGTAACTGTGGGTGTTTCTGTATAATAGTATCTAGATTCCTATATTTCAGGCTTTTCTACCCAAATACTCCAAACTTAAGAGCAAAGTCATGGGGGAGGTGGGGGTGTGGTTGGGCTGGGAAGAGAGCTGGTAAATCTGAGTATATCTTGAATAAGCTCCAGGCTACAATGAAATTTCTTGAAAGTCTAGTAATCTTTAAAAATTCTCAAGTGCATTTATCTTTTTAATTAGTGTATATTTAAAAATTAAATAGTATTTTAAATTACCGGATACTATACTAAAATGCATGTAGCATGTCTCTCTTGGTTCTTGAAGCCCCTGGCATACCATTGCCTAATCTTAAAGATGTACATCTGAAAAGCATGATTCTAGCTTAAAGTGTTTTGTGGTTTGTTTGTTTTTAATAAAAAAGTTGGACCATATATCGTTATGCATTTTTCTTGTGATGCTTAAAATTAATGTGGATTCAAATGATATTTTTATCCCACTAATTCCATAAATACTTTGTGTCCGTTTACAGCAAAAACATGTACTAACAAAATAAGAATATAAGTAAGATATTTAAATTGCAGACCAGAGAAAATAGCAATAAGAGTGAAGTCTCAAGATAGTGTGGAGTTGGGGATGAGGGAAATGGGACATGCTATCCAGGCCACAGGAACTTACCTAGTTGAGCAGGAATTTTAACTAAGAGTCCTGGAAGCCAGGTCTCAAAGAGAAGAAAACATGCTAAGTATTTTTGGGGAAAAAAGTTTTCTGAATACCTATAAAGGTTTCTGAATAGCTCTAAAGAAATGTAGTTAGTGGGTAATTCCTTAACAGTGTGGTACAGTTAATGTAGTAATAGCCTGCATAAGGTTATTTGTCACGGTTCCCTTCCCAAGGACATAACCAGGAATAAAACTCAGTGATGTCATTTTCCTCCAGTCAGCTTTTGTAATTCAAGTATATTGTTTTTCAGATGACCAACTTGATTTGAGGATGAAAACCTAGAATAACTAGGTAGATGAACTGTCTAATCTTTAAAAATGTCCTTTATGTATATTACTGATTTCTAAGACTTAAAAATATGTATTTTTCTTTAATTTCAAAAGCAATATCTATAGAAAATTAAAATATATTCATTTCTATATGTAGAAATACTTTGTGTGTGTATGTGTGTTTAACCTGCCCCCATCCCCATACTGGCAGCCTGTCAACACTCTAGTGTACTTCCTCCAGTCTCTTTATGTGCATTTTTTAAAAAGCTAGATCAATGATATATGCCTTTTATATTTTCTAAATGCAACATTAGCATTTCCCTGTAGTATTTGATCTTCATAAATTATTTTAATGTCTGCATTGTATGTGTTTATAGAAAGCTTATAAATTTATCTCTTGCTTTCCATGAGGGTGTACTCATTAGACTATTCATTTCCAGGTATATTTTTTGTTTTTGTTGGCTTCTTTTTCACCTCTTAAATATGAGCAATCCAGTTATCAGTTTACTTCTCTCTTTTCCTTGATCATATCACCCACCTCCCACAGCTTCAGCTATCACTTCAAACCACTCTCAGGATCTCAAGTCAGACTCATTCTGAGTTTCAAGCCCCTTAAATCCAATTGCCTGCTAAACCTCTGTGGATGCCCTGAAGGCATCTTCAAATACAGCTGTTCAAAAACAAGTCCTTTCATCGTGCCGATAGTCAACAATAATGTATTGTACACTTATTTATTAGAGGGTAGATCTTGTGTTCTTACCACAATAAAATTTTAAAAGTCCATATTCTCTCAGAAATAAATGGTTTCTCCTCTCCTGTTGCTTGTCTTCACCATCATTTCTGTCTATTTAGTTGCTTATTCTCCTTTTATCTCTCATTAATACCCAAAGTTATTTTCTACTTCATACCAAAAAGTTCAAGTACTTGAGTGTCCATGTATCAGGCATTGATTATGGCCTTTGCGATGGAACAGGGAACAAAACCAAGTCTTGTTCTCATGGACCTTACATTCTAATTGGAAGAGACACCAAGTGAACACATACATATATCAAAGGACAATAAGCACAGTGAAGAATATAGAGCAGGGTTAGGTGGTAATGAGAGGGAGAGGAGTTAGGAGAGTGCTTATCCATTATTATAAGGGGTCAGGGAAGACCTTTGATAAGGGGACATTTACACAAAGACCTGAAGGAAGTTAGGAAGAAGCCAGGTATATATGTAGAGGAAGAGCCTTTAAGGGGAAGGTAAGGAAGTTCCCATGTTGCTAGACTGGACCGAGCAAGAGGCACAATGGTAGAAAATGGCATCAGAGTGTTAGATGTTGGGCCTCAGAGGTGAAGGGATGGACTCTGGATTTTATTCTAAGAAAAACAGGCAGCAGCAGGAGGGTTTAAGCAAAGTATGACATGGCTAGACAGAAAGGTCTAGCTGTGCAAGGGTGGAAGCTCAGAGGCCAGTTAAGAGATTTTGTAGTCCAGGTAAGAGATTATGATGGCTTAACTGACTGTGGTAGCAGTAGAGGTTATGAGAAGTCCTATGCTGGATTTATTTAGGCAACAATATACCAATGATTAGGTGGGAATGTTAAAAAAGAGGAAATCAAAGGTGACTCCTAAGTTTTTGGCCCACACATTTATTTAGACAGGAAAAATGGCAGAGTTCAGACTGTTAGTCCATCTCCCTGGACTACTAAATTAGCCACTTACTGTATTTAATTTTTTTGTCCTAAATGTTCTTGCTCCAGTTAGCTTCTTAAAACACAGGTCTGACAATGTTACTCTGCTTCCTGGCTCCTTATTGTCTACCCACAGGAAGGTAAAGTTAATTCATATTATTTAGATGAATTTGCACATATCTTTTATGCTTTCATAAAGCACAGCATAAAAAAGTGGTCTTTTTTATTACAAGATAGATTTGGAAAAATTAAAAATATTTTTAAAAGGGATTCTGTATTAGGAGGAAAAGGTAAGACTCTTAGTAGGGATTTGTGGGACATATACCGAAAGGCAGTTTTGAAATGTATGCAGTTACTATCACAACTCTTTTTAACGCTTGCTAAATACTTAAGGTGTATAATGTCTATATAATTTCCCATATTTCTGTACAGGGAATGATAGCCTCTATTGATTAGTGATCTGGATTTGTATGTGTATGGTATACGAATACTGGGATTACAGTGCTGAACAAGCTAGACAAAATGTCTCTCTTAGGAATCAATAGTTTATTGAGGAAGAAAGTAGCTCTCAAATAGTTATTCCTTAGGAAGGGACACATATACTCTGCCAGGAATTTCTGTATGTTTTGGCTTGAATTTGTTAAGTAGTATTCTCACCTTAAATTTAGGGCTAGAATATCTTTAATTTCTATTTTGTATTTCCTGAACAACACAGATCCATGAAGTTATTTGTCCTTAGCCATACAGTTTATGGTCAAGTTGGGGTTCAGACTCAGGGTCTCTGATCCCAGAACCGTAAACACTATACTGTGTAATACCTATGATGATAAATTACCATGATGATAAATTAAAGGAATATAAATATGAATGGAAACAAATTTAACATTCTGATTTAAGGGAGTTTTAAAATTGAGGCAGGTCAGTCAAGAACTCCTTTTCCCAGGAATGCATCACCTGATATTCTTTCGTTTTTGTTCTTTGTCAGAGATTACATGTCTTTACTATCACTTTAAATCTCAAGTGTGTATGGGATGATCTGCTAAATTCACAAACCAGACCAGCATAAGATAGGTGTTCTTGGCAAGTGGCCCGAGTCACTACAACAACTGAAAGATATTTAAGCACTCTGGCAGGAGCTGCTGGACTCTGTGGGATACAGTGAAGTCCCAACTTACACAGGATTTAGGTTTTAATGGCATTGCAAGTTGAATTACATAAAGTTAAAATTACCTTTGAAAAATCCCACTTCTCACAACCATTACCTCTCTTTCCCTCATTTACCAACTTTTGTCGTAATTATTAAGCTACAGAAGGAAATATGAATTTTTATCTGATCATCCAGTACTTTAAAATCATTAGGAATCATTAAGGAAAGGAAAAGTTCCCTGACTTTCCTTTGACCACTTAAACCACTCTGTTCTGCAACTTGCTGCAAAATGTATGAACCATGAAAACATTATTCTAAGTCTCCTAACAAGTCTTCCTGCTTGTTCTTGCTCTCCTGTTGAGTGTTCTCCCACAATAGCCAGAATTTTTGTTTTTAAAAGTATAAATCAGAACATATCACTCCTCTCCGTTCAGTGCCTTTCACTGGCTCCCCATCTCACTCAGGAGTTAAAAGCTAACCACCACCTGGCCTTGTTAGGGCCTAGGTAGTCCAGAATACTTAGTGGACTGCTGGGACCACAACCTCACTTTCTGGCAAGCAAGAAAATTTTAGACCAGTCTTAACTTGTTTTAATTTTTACTTAGTCAAGTGACTATAAAAGCAAATATTTTAAAATAGTAAAGGAGATCAACCAAAGAACTTGTATGCATATATGCATAACCCATGGTCACACACAATAGGGTGGTGAAGGCCTGGGGTGGGGGGCAGGCTAGAAGGTGTCAGTAATACTTTTAACAATAAAGACTTTTAAAAATTAGTAAAGGAAATTGGGAAAAGAAAGTTTATGTTTTCTTCACCCTAGCATAGCTTTATTTTATTAGGTTCTTTTACTACATATACTTAGAGGTAATCATAGTACTTTTTTTTTCATAGATTTTGGACTCTTTTGCTACCTACTTATTAGAGCTCTAAAAACAACAATAAAGAAGTAATCAAAATCCTTCTTAGTGATTCAGACTGATGGTGTCATCTCTATAGAAGGATGTCATTTTTTTTTAAGAAAATTTTTAGGTAGAACATATTTTAGTCATAGGTTTTTCTCTAACTCTGTTTTGAAATAAATTACAGTTGAGTCAGCCAATATTCTGTAAGAGGAAACACTTAAAATTTTTGTCTGCTAACCCCCACCTTCCAGCTTTCTTCAGTTAGTCATCTTCAGTTTAAGTTGAAGCAGCAGTAAAACAGGGAAACGTCTACTATACAATGCCTACCATTCTTTGGTTGGTATTTGAGATAAGATTTATATTGTCCATAGTATAACTAAAAGTATGTCTTAAATACCACAAGAGAGAAACAAGAAGTAGTCTTGTGATGGGTGTTTTAAACTGTTGTTTATCTGAAAAAAGTTGATTAAGTCTTAATTGAGCATGTGATAAATGGTAGTCTCCCATGTTGAGGTTAAAATGAAATATGTGTGTGTGTTTTTTTAGATCATGAATCAGGCAGATAAAAATCAACAAGATATCCCATCATACCTTAGTGACGAACCACCAGAAGGTAAGTGTGCATCTGTAACACTAAGAATGGAACAAATATCCTATTGAATCCAAGTTCTGATTGTTTTTATTAAATTTAAAAAACTGTTTACCTTGTCAGTAAATAAATTCCAAAAATAATCTATGATAAACCTTTTTAGCCTCTAAAAGAAAACACTGATATGGGTACATGTAAAATCTATTTTTCTGTTACTCTTATTTTATTTCACAAGTAAGAATATCCTTTAATTTGTAAAGAAGAGTGGGTGGGATGCAGAGGAAAATTGGACTGTGTTTAGTGTTGATACCTTACATACAAAAACGCAAGAGGTACTTGCGATTTGTTGTTAAACTCCTATCATTTCATCTCATTATTCATAATTGGTAGCTCTCTCTTCCTATATTATACATGGTCTTAGGGTCTGCTTAATTTAAATTCTCTTTAATTTGAAAATTGTTATATCATGAATCATTTTATTCTTACCTTTACTTCAGAAATCCTTGGAAACACTAACTGTACAGCTAAATGTTTTGATGGGCATTTTCTATTTATGGTTTTGGTGTAGAATATTATTACCTTTAATTCAAATAGTGATCTCTTTGGACAACTGCATGTTTGTACAGGACCGTCATATTAGGTAAGAAAGAGAATCAAATTGGAGAATAAGGGATGTTAAGTGACTTACAGACAAGATAGGTTACAGTAGCAGACGGATGAGGATGTCTCTGGGAAGAGGCTAAGGCTGAACTTCTAGCTCTAGGTATTGTATTTTGTTCCCAGTTCTGTTACTCATTGTCCAAAACTTTCTTCCTATATTTATGTTAGCAGACAAAAATGAAATCACTAGGAAAATAAACACAATTAAAAGTTCATACTTAAGCCTAAAAGAGGATGGAGGTAACTAACCTTTAGTTTGCTGGTGAAATAGCCTAGAAAATTATCACCTCACCTGTTTTCCTTGTTTTATTTATTAGGGCTAGAACCCTGAAAAGAAGTTAGGACTCAGTGAAAAGTTAATAAGGACTTTGTGAGAAAGTCACCAGGAAAGAGATAAAGGCTCTCCAGGAGCATAACTGCCAGGGAAAAGAACAAGCCTCAGGAATGACTGTGCATGGCAACCTGCTAAACAAAAGTAGTCTGCAAAGTAGATAATTTATAGGGTGGTAATTAAGAGTACACTGTAATTAAAGAGATCAACAGCATTAATATTTATTGGATTTGACTGAGAAAAACTACCTTCATTAAATGCTTGTGCACCAAATTTAGCCTAGCAGTCTGATCCTATATGAGGTGTTCAGTGTGAAGCAGTATGTTTTATTCTCAAATCAGGATTTTCCTCCTTCCCTAGTGTTACTGACCTTGACCTTGATTACAAAAGAATGACCAATTATGAAATCCTTTCCATCATAATTTTATACTTAATGCAGTAGTTCCCCCTTATGCACAGGGGATACATTCAAAGACCCCCAGTGGATCCCTGAAACTTTGGATAGTACCAAACCCTATGAATAACATGGTTTTTTCCTGTACATATATGCCTATGATAAAACTCACTTTATAAATCAGACAAGGCAAGAGATTAACAAGAATAAAAAAATAGAACCATTACCATATACTGTAAAAGAATTACATGAATGTGGTCTCCCTCTCTCAAACTATCTTATTGTGATGGACATTGGGATTATTCACCTCTTAGGCAGATGGAGGGGGGTGGCTCAAGATTTCATCACTTTATTCAAATTGGCACACAATTGAAATTTTATGAATTATTTCTGAAATTTGCCATTTAATATTTTCAAACCAAGGGAAACCATAGGTAAGGCGTGACTATGGTATATTCAAATGCTTATCTATATCTTAAGCCTTTTAATTCAGCTATTTAAAAATTTATATTAACTATGCTTATTACTCAAATAGTTTAAATAAAAAATTTGGATTTTAAAAATTTAGCCACTGCTGAACATGGACATTTGTAATGTGGTCGACCTTCTCAAAACAACCTCCTGATTATTAGGAAGTCTTAGGTTACTTGATTTGTACTGTTTTTTATAGACATATTTAACAATCTCATTCTATTTTCTCATTAGGATCAATGAAAGATCACCCACAGCAGCAACCAGGCATGTTGTCCCGTGTGACTGGCGGTATTTTCAGTGTTACAAAAGGAGCTGTTGGTGCCACCATTGGTGGTGTGGCTTGGATTGGTGGAAAGAGTCTGGAGGTGACCAAAACAGCTGTTACAACTGTGCCTTCCATGGGAATAGGGCTGGTGAAAGGGGGCGTGTCTGCTGTGGCTGGAGGTGTGACAGCTGTTGGGTCTGCTGTTGTAAACAAAGTGCCCTTAACAGGAAAGAAGAAAGACAAATCTGACTAAAACATGGAGATACATTTGCTCTCTACAGCATTATGATGCCAGTGGCATTGAATTGCTAAATTATGGACTACAACTAAGTCAACTGTTTTGGATGTTTATCTTCTTAAACTGCTGTGTTGAAAGTATTGATGACTGGCTTTCGTCTAAAAAGAAGAGACCAATACTAGCACAGTGTATGAAGGTTTCTCATACTTAAATTCCAGCTTTTTATCTGGTAAAATGTTACGCTTATCAGCTGTAACTGAAGATATATTTGAGTATTTACTATAAGTCTTTTAGTTTAACTAAAAATGTGAAAGTTGAATTTAGTGGATGATCTTTACAATTCCATATGTATAATGTGCCAGGTAACACATCTGTCCCTTAAAAAGGGAACCTTGAACTACATAAACTGTAATTTTGATGTGCCTACTAGTTTCAGATGTCTTAGTTTTTTTTATAATGATAGTTGATTAGGCCAAGAGGCATTCTTTTCTTATTTAAGCCGGTAAAGGTAGCAAGATTTAGAGAAATTTAAAAGAAAAGATAAAGGGTTTTATGATCCTGAGTGTTAACCATCTTTTGTTAGATATATTATATTTATTTCATCATCGATGCCTTACAAAAGAAAACATCTTTTCTAATACCCTCATTGTGCAGTTCTTAGCATTATATATGGATTCTCTTAAAAGTTGTTTGTATCAGATCAGTTTTCCCTCTTTAAGAATCTCAGGAGTCTTGGGGTAAAAGCATTTCTTGCTCTTAGCAGATAAGATAGTGGTTAACTTTTTGTTAACTGTCTGTAGTTATGACCAACAATATGCTTCAACCTGGGTTCATGCTCCATCATCAGTACACCTCACAGTGCCTAAGGAATATGTCTTTGCTAGTCAGAAGCTTTGTTGGAAGAGTTTCAGATTAAGGAGGAACAAATAAATAATTTTTAGTTTTTAAAAATTACCTAGAACATCCCAGATATAAAAAGAATTCTTTACATTTATTTTATCTCTAGGATGGCTTAAATTATAAGCAGGTTTTTTTAAAAACATGGTAAAAGAGCCACAAATATGTGGGAGCTGTCTTTTAAATTGAATGAAATGGGCTCCAGGGATTAGTTTTGAATGTAAAAATATATGTGTTTTCAATGGTTTATAGCAGTGGTTCTCAACCTTGGCTGCACATTAGAATCACCTGGGAATCTTTTTAAAATCCTGATTTCTGGGCCTCATCCTCTCTTAATCACTTCCAGTAGCCACCCAGGCACCGACATATCTGAAAGGGCTTAGAGCAGTGGTTTTCAACCTTGGCTGCACATTAGAATCACCTGGGAATCTTTTTAAAATCCTGATTTCTGGGCCTCATCCTCCGGAAATTCTGTTTCTTTGTTATGGGGTGAGGCCACAACATTAGTAACAAAGAAACAGAATTTCGGGAGGATGAGGCCCAGAAATCAGGATTTTAAAAAGATTCCCAGGTGATTCTAATGTGCAGCCAAGGTTGAAAACCACTGGTTTACAGGCTTTTAAAATGTTATCTCACCATCCTTTAAAGCAGCTGTAGACTTTGTATCATTTTCCAAGTCAAATTCAGGCAGGGAATTGAAGTTTTTGATTGCGGATGATAAGTGTGTCAAGTCTTAACATATCATGTTTCAATCATTCTCAAAGAATATGACTTAGCTGAAATTCATCTTTTTGTTTCTTGTTTCATAAAAAATTTAAAAGTGGCATATATATTTGGCATTCATCCTAACTAGGGGTTATAATCCAATCCTGAAAAAAATCTGTTATCTTTATACTAAGTCCAGATATTTGCCTCCATTCTGCAGATTTTTTTTCCTTGCAAGGGAGGGAAGGAAAGGTATGATGCTCTGGAGTAAATAAGTGAAATAGCCTCCCTGAGAACTTAAAACAGATCACTCCCACACCCAAGGCTGAACTGTTTGTAAACAACAAAGAATTTTTACATTAATGTGGATTACCAAATGGATAAGAACATTACTTTTCAAAAACTTTCATGAATACCAGCAGGGATTTTAAGCAAATCTACAAATGTTCTTGAACTTTTCTACAGTATATAAAACTGAGAAGTCATTAAGGAATTCAATTCATCAGAAATTAAATGGCCTTTTATTTCATGCTGTGTAATTTAAGGTATACTTGTTGGTATATCTGGTCAAATGTCATAATTAGCAATGGTGGTTTTTTTTAAAATCCAAATTAATAGATGAACACAAATAATGACCTAAAATAATGGTAGTGGAGAACTTGTTTCCTGCTATTTGAAAGAAATTATTACTTCATTAATAGGTCATATTTCTAATTTATCTTCTCTAGTCATAGGTTCTGCTGTGCTTTATACCTGCATTTCTAAACATACTTTAGTTGACTGTATGCTTGCATATTTATTTTTAACTTTGGTTATCTTTAAAATTGCTTGAGGAAAATAAAATGGTTGTGATTAATTTCTGCTACAGAAAAGCCACCTGGTACATTTTATCTTACCGAGTTTGTTTTAAATTCTAAACTGTAACTTTGTTCAGGAGAGGCTTTTGCAATGATAGCAGAGAACTGTACAAATGAAGTTAGTCATGGAGGTTCTTGTTGAAATGAACTTGCCATCTGATATGTATAGCTGTACACTTGAGTCTTTCTCAGTTTATTTTTGTAGATTAGCATTTGACCTGTAAACAGTACTAGTTCACTTCAAGAAACTAAGGTGGTTGTATATACCTGGAGGTATCTGTTATTCAGCTTTTCTTTTGAGTGGGTATTTGCACAATGAGGGTAACCGTGTGTGACCCACTGAATGACTGATCTAATGTCGATATTATGAGTCCTGCACTTAGATGAAAATAACTGATGACTGAAGTTTTTTGTATTAAAGGAATGAGAAAAGAATACATGAATCTGTTAATAAAACACTATGATCTACAAAATATGAAATGTTTCATAAAGATCTAAAGGAATAAAGGAAATTTTAAAACAGGGTAGTCTTAAAATTTTTAGTTACATAGCAGTTTAGAAAGTTTACAAATTTTTGACGTTAATGAAGAAACAAGATAAAACATCTCTGAATATATTTTGATGCCAACACAATAAATGAAATGCAAATATATTTTAAACAACTCTAATAAAGATTAAAAATGTAGATTTCTAGGTTTGACCCCAACCTTCTGAATCTCTGTAGGGTGGGGTCTGTAGGACTGCAGTTTAACCACCTCTGCTGGTGATTCCTATGCACTCTGAAATTTGGGAACCGATGAAGTTACAAAGTAGTGAGCACTTCCCTCTGTCCTAGCTGTGGAACCAACTTAGACATCTCACTGAACAGAAGTGACTCAAAGGGATGGGAACCAGTTGGAGGAAGGTAGAAAATGGATATATATTGGGCACCTACTTACCCACCAGGGGCTGTCCACACATTATCTGATTTAATCACTATGAGGGTATATCTTTATTCTCTTCGTACAAATATGGAACAGTCTTTCAATGTTAGTTGAATTTCCTATATAATTTCTGAATTAGTGTAAGTCACTTCTCCAGTTTAGGTCCAGAAACAGAAATGGGGCCATCAGTAACAAGTCCTTAATTCTGCTGTTGGCATTCAGTGCTGCCTGTGCTAGATTTACCAGGCTGTCTAGCTTGAACTTCCTGGTGATCATATTTATATTTACTGTGGCAGCTAATTATATTTTGCCACAGAAATGAGTTTAGTGTAATTATATTCCACTAAATGACTTAAAGGCAATAATTGTTACTAGAGTCTCTTTTCACGCAGGAAATAAAAATTTGACTCTAGTGTTTTATGTAAGAGTATCTCTCCCTGCTCTGTTGTTGATTTTGAATTATTTTAAATTTTACTCAGGAAGATCTGAATAAGAATGCAAGAATGGAAAAAGGCAGATTCAAAGGTTTACAAAAGAAAATGTAGTAACATTTAGTCTAAGGGAATATAAAGTCAATATACTGGATTTTTAAAAAAATATATTTTTATTGATTTCAGAGAGGAAGGGAGAGGGAGGGAGGGAGAGAAACATCAATGATGAGAATCACTGACCGGCTGCCTCCTGCTGCTTCCAAATGGCCCCTACTGGGGATCAAGCCAGCAACCTGAGCATGTGCCCTTGAATGGAATTGAACCTGGGACCTTTCAGTCCGCAGGCTGATACTCTATCCACTGAGCCAAACTGGCTAGGGCAATATACTGGATTTTTTTTTTTTTTTTAACCACAAACGTGGATTTTAACTTAATCTTTTCAAGTTAGAGTAAGTTACAAATGTATTTTAAAAACTGTATGTGTCTCAAGTTCTCTACATGGGCCTGTGCCCCTAAAGTTTGCTGCTGTAATGACTAGACTAAATTAATGGCCGACAAAGCACACAGGGTCACTCAGGGGTCACTCAATTCTGACAAACTTTCTTATATACCCTCTTGTATGTTCACTTTACTACTCCTCCAGATGACTTTCATACCTCCTTCCGACTCTCTTGCTATACATACTCCCATCTCCCATTCTACTTCCTTCTCTGACAGCAACTCTCCTGCCTCTCATACCACCCACTCCATCAACCTGCCTACACCTGATGCCACACTCAGACCAGGACTAGTATCTGTGCACTCATCCAAAGTCTGCCCACCTTCACTTCCTCAAGGATATGAAACCTACAGTTTTCCATCTCCAGCTCTCTTGGGTCATACCCATCAGCATGTACTAGTAAACAAATCTTAGTATTTGCTTTCTTTAAAGAAAAACTTCTTGAAAACAACTGCAGTTTCTTCCTCTTCATCTAGCCTTTCAACCTATTCCAGTTGCTTTCTTACCTTTCTCAGTCCACCAGAATCACTCCTGATAGGGCCAACTAATGATTTCCTATTTGCCAATTCTATTAGTCACTTGTCTGTATCTTAGTTGGCATGTCCATGGCATTCAATCTTATTGACCATGCCCTCTTTTCTTGGCAGACTTCCACTGGTCAACCCTTTCCAGGATTGGCCAGCTAGAGCTACAAATCTGCACTTTGTTTCTGGATAAGCTCATCGAGAGCCATAGCTTTACATTTCATAGATATGCAAATGACCCCTGGATCTCTATCTCCAGTCCTAACTTCTCACAATTCTGGACTTTAGCATTTGCATCTTTGACATCTCTGCTCTGATATCTAGTAGACATCTCAAAAATTAACATCTAAAAGGTGACCACATAATATACAATGTATTTCAAACTGAGACAACAGACAAAGCACCACTGATAATTATGGTGGGACAACAAGCATCTAGTTTCTCCAAGGGTTTCCCATCACACTCAGAATGAGATTCTGCTCTTTAGATGGACGTGTAATACTCATCTTATCCTGCCCCACTCTCCTTGTCCTGCAACCCTGCCCCCACTGTACTGCCATTCTTTTTCTTGAACATTCCGACGTGACTTTGGGTGAGTAACCCTCTGTGTGCCTGAGTCTTATCTGTAGACCAGTAAACAATGGTACCGAACTCCTAGTGTTGCAAAGCACAGTGTGCCTGGCACTTGGTGCTGCGTAGATGTCTTTCCTCTCCTAAGGAACTTAACAGAATTGGATAGTGAAGGCTACTTGCATTTGCTGAAGACATGGCCTGCATTTTTCATATTTTCCTGAAGAAAAGACCATTCACACATAGTGCACAGAGGTTTGACTATCAGAGTCAATTGTTTGGTTGTTACAAAGTTCAAACTCCACAGCTGAAAGTGGGCCAGTCTTTATCTGGGTAATGTTTATCTTGGCAAGATTTAGAAATAGAAATGTGAAATGCTACTAAGTACCAACCATCACACACTTTCCCTTTTATAGGCAGACCTGAATTTTCAGAAAGTTCTTAAAAATGCTCCATGTACTTCAAATGTATATGAATTAGATCATTTCAAATTGAAGGCATTTTACAGAGAAGTTTTCATAAAAATCCCTAAATTTGTTGGTACTCACTCTTTTGGCAGGTCAGGGAGGGGTGACTTTTTTCATGCCAACTCATAAGCAATCCTTTTTCTATTCACAAGGTTTGAAAAGAAGTTGGATCATAGTAAATCTGGGCTGTCACTTGGCAGCTGAGTGGCCTCTCTAAGGTTCAGTTTCCTCATCTGTAAAATGGGGAAAGTAATGAATGCACTTAAAAGCACTTCATGAGAGAGAAAAATGGTCAATTTTAAACAACGTGACCATACAAATAAGCTCTAATTGTTCTTTCTGGATGAGTAATACTTGGTTCTGAAAGATACTCATTCCAACCAGGAGATAAAATCAGCTTTCTCTAAAAAAATGTATTAGAAATCTGCTGATGTTTCACTTTAACACTAAGCTACAGAACTCAGACCACGGTAGTGATGTTTCAGAGCCGGTGGTGAGAAAGAAGGCTGGGTCTACATCCCAGATGAAATGTGCTAGATCAGTGGTTCTCAACCTTCCTAATGCTGCGACCCTTTAATACAGTTCCTCATGTTGTGGTGACCCCCAATTTCATTGTTACAAATTGAACATAATTAAAGCATAGTGATTTATCACAAAAACAATATGTAATTATATATGTGTTTTCCAATGGTCTTAGGCGACCCCTGTGAAAGGGTCGTTCGACCCCCAAAGGGGTTGCGACCCACAGGTTGAGAACCGCTGTGCTAGATAAATAAAAAATGACAGTTGTTTCCCCGGCCAGTGTGGCTCGGTGGCTGAGCATCAACCAATGAACCAGGAGGTCATGGTTTGACTCCCAGACAGAGCACATGCCCAGGTTGCAGGCTTGATCCCCAGTAGGGGGTGTGCAGGAGGCAGCTGATCAAGGATTCTCATCACTGATGTTTCTATCTCTTTCTCTCCCTCTCTCTGAAATCAATAAAAACAAATTTTTAAAAAATGACACTTGTCAGTTTCTTAAAAATGATTCACTTATATCACACTAATGTGCCATTGAATGGTACAAGATTTTTTAAAAAATAGCTTAAGATCAAAATTAGCAACTTTTATTTAAAATAAATGTAATTTATATTTTATAATATAGCATATGAGTTGGGGATTATTTACTTAGAGGTAAAATTCCTGGTGCCTGCAAACAGCTTGAATCCTGTGTCTTTGCTACTCAGTGTCACTCTGCACTGCCAGAAGGAAGCAGCATCAGCCAGTGAGTTACTCATCAACATGTAACGGTGCAACAGGGTTAAATAATGGCCTTCCTTTTTTGGCCTGGATTTTACCAAAGTTAGCCTCAAACTCTTTTTTCGTTCCATTTAGACTTGCTAGATGTCCATCCTTTACTCTGTAGCCTAAGGAATTCAGTTTCCTTATCCTGTACTGCACTATCTGTGGTGTTAATTCCAGAACCATGGGCGTTTCTCTTATCTGAGCTATGGAAATTCCTTCTTTCAATAATCCCTGAATTCTCTCTTCCAAAATGGGAACGGAATAATATAAAAGGGCAGGACATTTCAAAACTAACTGCTTCAGGTCATGATCTGTGCATTTAAAAGCATTTTTAGAGAAGGAAATACTGTTCTGTATACTTCTTAGGCCAAGTTGAAAAAGAAACCCTTTCAGTTGGGACAGAAGCTGGAGAATTTCAGAGTCTGTGAAACCTTGCTCCTGGAGAAATTCCAATGTTTCCTTTATAGCTGCAGAAGAATTTAACAAAATAAATGGGTTTTGGCTTAATAACTTCAGTAGCCAAACTTTCATGTTGGTCTCGGAGCTACCTAAATTTAGATAACTCTCCTGGAGAATCCTTATCACTTGCTTATTCTTCTCAACAGGATTATGAAAAATACTAGGTGCAGTTGTCAAAAACCTGCTAATGACCACATTTTTGAGTCCCAACTCTTGAAAGAACTGAACATTCAGTTTCCGGTTCTCCTGGTCTTTAACCGTAAAGAAAGATTCTGGAAACTGTTCTATTAACTTGACTAACTCTTCCTCATTTTTGCAGACGGACTGCCAGAGTTCTCTCTGGGAGTTCACAGCGGTTGGACTGCAGACAATGGCTTCTGGGCAGCGTTCCAAAATACTGGCTACCGCAGTCTCATTGGCACCTAGTTGCTGTAAAATATTTGCAATTTCTTCAACATAGGTTTCATCCTCCAAAAGGACCCATCCTTTTAATCTGCGTATTTTCCTGATGTCAACTGAAAATTTATGGAGCTTTTCCACTGTTCTTTGATTTTCTTTGTTAGGCTGATTGTTGGTTGTATAGGTGAAGCAAGCTAAAAAAGGTCTGTATCTGGGAGCTGATAGCATCTTTCTGAAAGAACACAGCCTGCAAGGCTGGGATCTCATCAGCAACTTCCACAACATGCCTGAAATCCACCAGCTAATCCCCACCGTCCAGTGATGCAGAATGTATTCAGGGTGCCTGTAAGAAAGAAATTACAGGATTTAACATGGGTTGTTGCCTTGTAGAACACAAATCTAAGCTGTTAGCAGTAAGCATTGGAAATAACATGGATTTAAATTAGACAGGAAAACTACTCATGTGGAATATTAAATATATCCTCTTACATAATTTATAAAGTAATTATACTTCTTCACAGCTTAGACATCTTATACTTTATAAATACATTGCCATTTGAACTTTGCAGCAACCTTGTGAAGTAGTTATTTCTCTTTCACAGAGCAGTAGCCAGACCACAAAAAGTTCAAAGAATCACAGACCGTAGATGTTATTTTGACACAACTTCCCCCTCCTACAACTCTGATATGTTTCTCTTTAGGAGACATATGTTACTTACTTATATACACACAGAGGTTCTTTGTTTTTGTTTTTAACGTTTTACATTTTCAAGGTGATGTATAGCAGAAGCAAATACTTATTAAGAATGGGGGTGGGGGGGCGTGCCCTGGCCGGTTTGGCTCAGTGGATAGAGCGTCGGCCTGCGGACTGAAAGGTCCCAGGTTTGATTCCGGTCAAGGGCACATGCCTGGGTTGTAGGCTCGATCCCCAGTTGGGGGCGTGCAGGAGGCAGCCAATCAATGATTCTCTCTCATCATTGATGTTTCTATCTCTCTCCCTTCCTCTCTGAAATAAAAATGTATTTTTTTAAAAAAGAAGGGGGACGTCATCTCTAATTTTATATTTCAGAGTAAATATTTTTGCTGAATAACTATTACCCAAATAAGTTAATTTGTTTTATTTAAAATGAGTCAATAAATGTATGCTTGTTCCATGAGAATTATGTGAAAATTTCTTTATAAATGCAGAATTAAATTAAGTCTTAGCCAGGTACAATGAGAGAGATGTGTGACTGCCCCAGTGGAGCCACTCGAGTGGCATGTCAGCTGTGGAATGGGGACCATACATTATAACGTCTAACCAGCTGTCCCCATTTGACAGCTTTAGTTACCTAGAGACGCTATACTGTGCCTGATGCATTGTAGCCTTTGCACTATTTTCTCATATTTCTGGTAATGAAAACATGCCTAGTTTGTTGTTTTAACTTTTGGTACCTGAGATTGAAGTGTCTTGGCTCTACCACAAAAGTGTAGTGCTGCTATTTGGATAGTTAACAGCATTTCCTTAGTATTTGTAGGTTTGAAGGAAAACGGGGGAAGGGGGCAGCCATTTCTAATCCCTGCCTTTAATAATGCCTTTGCCACATATGCCAAGGACTCCTCCCTTTCAAGTCCTACTACTCCAAATAAATTATTATTCTCTAAGGAAAAATAACAGAGAATAATGCTCTCATTTTTGGTTTACTTTTGGTAAAATAGCTCAGTTAGTGCCTATGATGTCAAAAGTAATTGTAGGCATAGCTTCTGTTTTACTTCTAGTAGTTCAACCAGAGTTTTCTTAAGACGATTCCTAATACCAGTTTCCTTAAATAACTCTCAAATAGCCAAGATATAAATGAGAAGAGAAACACAGCTCAGTGATACAGGAATGTGTATCAGTGAGTGTGTATGCATACATATGTATTCTGCCTGTTCCACACGCTCAAAATCTATGAAGAAAGACTGTGTAGTTAACAATGTGGGTGTTTACTCTTTCTCTTTATAGGTATGTCTTTATTTCCAAAAGGATTTGCAATATCAAGTTTAGATTGTAGAAATATTTTTAGTAAAGGTCTAATATAATAACTCCCAGTTATTTTCCTAACTTTATCATAAAATAAAAATTCAATCAATATGCACAAGAATAAAAGTTTATCTAATAAAGAGTATTAATGTTATAAACCTACTCTTTAGGGAAATTTCTTGATTCTAATTGTTAATAATTCATAATAAAAATGTATTGTTATTTTGTAATCCTTATTTCTTATTTATAATGCTTTTTAATAAAACCACAAACAAATTCTCTATTATTCTTATCTATCTAGAAGCACCTATAAGATTTCTGTTTTTCATATCCTAGTTAAGCTCTCTTGCCTACATCTTTTTTTTTTTAATATATTTTATTGATTTTTTACAGAGAGGAAGGGAGAGGGATAGAGAGTTAGAAACATCGATGAGAGAGAAACATCGATCAGCTGCCTCCTGCACATCTCCTACTGGGGATGTGCCCGCAACCCAGGTACATGCCCTTGACCGGAATCGAACCTGGGACCTTTCAGTCCGCAGGCTGACGCTCTATCCACTGAGCCAAACCGGTTTCGGCAATAATATTTTTTAAATTTCTGAGAAGACCAAGGATTTTAACAGCAAGGAGGTACATCTAGGCTGGAGTCCCACACCCCACTGTCCTGGAATCCCAAAACCTCGAGCCTCACATCTGTACCACCAGCTGGAAGGAGTGTGGCTCGGCAGTCAAACTCACACCCTGCTCTGGCTCTAATTTATGGGATCATCTTGGGAAAGTTACTTAACCTCATATTAAACAAGTAGTGATTAGAATACAGCCTCACAGTAAATGTTCAATAAGATTAAAATAATAATAGCATCATCTGTATAGTAGAACAGCAGGTAAACCTTATAGGAATATTGCGAGGGTTAAAATGCACATCAAGTACTTTGTGCGCAGCCTGGTATGTTATCAGCGCTCAATAAATGGAAGCCATGACTAGGAAACATGGAGCTAAAATGTTTGTAGTAATGTGACTTTAAACTGTATTTTAGACAGAAGTACATTATTTACAAAGAATAACTGAAAATTGTGAAAACTGTATTGTAAATGCTTTTATAAGCAAGTAACTGCTTATGAAGGTAATACAGTCTCACTATAGAGAATCTGCCAAATTCTGAAAAGTATAAGGAAATGGAAAAATCTTTCATAATCCCATCACCTATAGACAACTATTCATATTTTGACATGTAAGTCGTTTTATTCTATGCTTCTTGCCCCCTTTATTATAATTTTTAAATACATAAATCTGCTTTATACATGACAGTTAGGTTCTAAACTCAGCCTATCAAGTGAAAATTGCAGAAACTCAAAATTTTCCTTGAAAATCTCCTAAGCAGGCACCACACTGGATACCAACATACCATCTTCTGTAAGTCCTGCACCAGGGGTTCCTCCAGGCCTGGAACAGATCCCAGTGTTTGGCTGAGCACCAGATGAAGTAGTTGGCTTACTCTGGAGTTACATTATAAAAAGTGACAGATCATTAAATATTAGAACTACATTGACCACAGCATGACGCTCTTGCCCAGGGAGGCTAAGGGAAGAGCGGGCTGCCTCCCATGGCCTGCTTACTCCAGAGTGAACTATCATGTGTTCAGGTGAGTTGTCTGAACAATTAAAGCTGTCTGTCTTGCTCTAGCTCTTTCTCTGATGAACAAACATAGTTGACTATAAAAGTGGAAAGCACAAATGTGGCTCCTCTACAATCAATACACATTGTACAGGGGTGGGCAAAAGGAAGTTTACAGTTGTAGTACTAACAAAATCCTATATAATAAAAGCCTAATATGCAAATTGTCCCCTCAACCGGGAGTTCGACCGCTCACAGGGGGTGGTATGGAACATGGCGAGTGTCAGCAACGCAGCACTGGCAGTGGGCGGCAGTGGAGGCGCTGTCAGCCCCGATGAGAGCAGGACCTCGGTGGGATGGTGGAGCAGGTGAGTGGGCGGTGCCAGGCCAAGGCGGGTGTGAGCAGGGGCCTGATCGCTCTGTGGTTGACCCCGCAGATGGCAGGGGTGGGGGGGAGCCCCGCCTGACTCCCAGGCGCTGAGGGAGCTGGGTGGGGTGGAGGAGGGCCCGGCACCGATCGATGGTCCCACAGGTGGGATGGTGGAGCAGGTGAGGGGGCAGCACCCGGCCAAGGCGGGGTGCCAGGCGGGGCTGTGAGGCTGGGGGTGCGAGCTGGGGACCAATCTCCACAGGCCACCCCAAGGAACCCCACCCGTGCAGGAATTCATGCATTGGGCTTCTAGTAATAAATAAAAATACAAGAATAAACTCTGTTTTGTGTACTCACAACTGTAAAACTTTTGCCTACCCTCCTATATGTATTTTATTCTTTAATCCACTATATATACCTTGGCATCAAAAGTGCTCTAAATATTTTAAATGAGTGCATGATGTATGGGATGGATATACTCTCATTTTGTAATTTATTTCCTAGTATTGAGCAGTTGGGCTATTTGTAATTTTTTGTTATATGCTAAATATCTGCTGCACATTTCATATTTTTCCCTTTAGGATGAACTTCTAGGAGAATTACTGAAGAGATGTGTGAAGTTCAGTTGTTAATTCACTACCCAGAAAAACTATCTCAACCTATATTCTCACAAGCAGTATGAGTGATTCCCTCATTAGTTATAAATTTAATATGTGAAAATGAATACAACACTAATTTAACTTCATTTTATTATTAGTGAGGCTGAACTTTTCTTAAATTATGTTGACTATCTGTGTTGCCTTTTAACTATTCCTGCGGTTTGCCTTTTTTATCAGTGGCATTAAGCAAATTCACAATGTTGCACAACCACTACCACTACTTCCAGAACTTTTTCATCACCCCAGGCACAAACTCTGTACCCATTAAGCAATAATTCCTCATTCCTTTCTCCACTCAGCCCCTGGTAATTTCCATTCTACTTTCTGTTTCTATGACTTTGTCAGTGGAATCATACATTTGTCTTGTTGTGTCTGGCTTATTTCGCTTAGCATGTCTTCCCAGTCCATGCACAGTATAGCATGAGTCATCATAAATAGATGAAGCCTCCTGTCCCCATTGTAGGCTCTCTTGAAACTATGGATGGTTCCTCGGTGCCACTTGTCATAGCTGCAGTTCACGTGTTATTTCTGTTTCACCCTCCATGAGGCAGAGACTGGCCATCATGTTCCAATGAATTGCTTCCCTACCCTCCACCCGTTGGGCTGACACAGGTGAGTCTAGGAGGCATTCCTAGTCAGGTGACCTTTGTGTGTGCTCCTCCATAGCAGCCAACTCTTGATCCTA